TGTTGTACTAGAGGTTTTACGGCGCTCGCAACTGCATAAGGTCATATGAGCGCCAGAAGATTAGAGGTGTTACTCTTGTAACAAACATAAAAAAGAAGAATGGGAGAAAAGGACGATAGATGTTTGATAGGAAAGAAGAAGCAAACCACACCAGAGCACCCGCCAACCCCCCACCTTCTGGAAAGTGTTTAATAAATGGTGTGTCTTGTGCTTGTTACGAAAAGAGGTTCTCTCAAGTTGTAAGGTACCTGGCGTGTTTGTTGTCTCGGTCGTGTGTGGGCGTGGTCGACGAAGTAAGAGGTTTTGAAGCAACCGAGATGTTATAAAATAGAATACTTTAGCAACAACTGTTACTTGCCCAGAAGGAGTACGTGGTAATAAAAGTGGAGTGGATTTCTAAAAATCGAACTGCTGCGAGCATAAAAATGTCTACACACAGAAATCAATAGAACTCGTTGTTATTATAATACTATTAATATTGCTCTTCGATATCTTCAACAACACTCTCGCCGGTCAATGATAAAGTACACGTAGTCACTGACAGATGTGTAAGTCCAGTTGTAAGATAACGTCGAAATGATTCACGCGAAATCACAAGTGAGCCCAACCCTTCCGTATTGGAGACTGAATATTTATTTACCACCATTGGTGAATAACGCAAAGTGCTGCTGCGTGTTCCTTTTTCCGAGACTAAATATTATTATTTATTTCCCACCATAGGCGAATAACGTAAAGTGTTACTGCGTGTTCCTTTTTACGAGACTGAATATCATTTATTTCCAACCATTGGCGAATAACACAAAGTGCTGCAGCGTGTTCATTTTTACGAGACTGAATATATTTATTATTTCCCATAATTGGCGATTAACCCCTAAAAATGTTGCTTGCTGCTGCAGCAGTGGTTGTATTGCACAATACATGCAAAGTAAAAATTTCTTCAAAATTAAATAAAAGGGTTCAGGTCAGTTAGATCAACATTGTATTAATAGGTTACTAATTTCTTATGCTTTTCTGCTATAGCTTGTCACGCCCGGGGAAGAAAGAGAGATTGGGGGGGGGGGGTATAAATAAAGTAATTCTGTTTAACGCAAGGAGGTTACAGTTTGTTTTTAAGTTCCGTGTTTTAACGATGGTGAATAAACAGTTATAGTGTCAGGGGTCAACTTTGTTCATTCTAAAATACATGTAATAATATTGGCGAAAAGAAGCGGCTCAAGCTTCAGTAAATCATTCAGAGTCGTCTCTGAAAGGGGACTTTCGTCGACACTGATGACCAGGGTAAACAGAGACGTCCACAAACAACAGCTGAGAGTGCTGGCAGTTATAAATACATGTGCTGTCAGGAAGGGGCTTGTGGGCGTGCACTGTGGTAGAGAGGCACAGTAATAATTATTGTAAGATAGGAGGAACTGCTGCATTACCAACGCTCACTGTTTGGTTAACGAGAGACAGGCCAGTGTAAGTGTAATTATTATTGCAGTTCAAACAAAAAGTAAGACTTGTATGATCAGAACCGAGGGCGAAAATGATGAACGATTTTGCTGACTGGAAAGCTTGGCCTTCCGCGAATGCGTTTGTGAGAAGTAGGCAGAGAGAGAGAGAGAGAGAGAGAGAGAGAG